CCTGCCTACTGGAAAAATAAACTTGTGTGAAAAAATTTAGCCTTCTATCTCAATTCGTTCGAAAGATATCGTGATTACAAAAGACAGACGGACAGGCTGACGGATAGACAGACAGATGGACAGACAGACAGACGGACAGACGGGCATCGCTAAATCGACTTAGAATTTTACGCTGATCAAGAATATATATACTTTGTTGGGTCTGATATGAGTATATCGAGGAGTTACAAGCGGAATGACAAAGTTAATATACCCTCCATAGTATGGTGTAAAAATATCACTCGTTTTTGCCGACAGATGTATACCATCAAGCAATGATCGTTTATTTAAATATACTTTGACTGGCGTTATGACTGTTCAAACTATTAACCCTTTATTGGGGAATTTCCAAAGGACTGGGCCATTTTTGTGCATTTCGTATCTGACCTAAGTCTGATAAAAATGTACCAAATTCGGGCTATACAGACAACGTCATTCATCTTTTCAGGAGAAATGTATTAATACTTGAAAATAAGTAATATGCATGAGATACCGGACGGACCGAAGTATTCCACTTCATCGAATACTAAAAAATGTTAGGATTATTATTATTTTCAGATTTATGCAAATTTAGTTTAGTTTACCATGTTTTGAAAAAAAAAATCGCAATTCATAAATGATGTTAATATTGAATATTGTGACCTTTTGTGGGGCACCTACCCGAATAGATGGGCCGACATCTAGCATCTTCACACCAAATCTTGTGTTAATAGAAATATTGGCGTGTTTGAAATTTGAACGCTTTCTGCTTACTTCGGTTATATCGCATTTATAAACGTTTTGGTTATTCAAAATGTTGAACCTTTGTTTTGGGGGAAGTTACAAAAGAAATGAACCGAGACATTCTATCTTCAAAATATTGTGGTGTGCGTAATTTGAAGAGAATCAGATGCTTATTTCGAATTTTATGATCGTTGCTGTTATTAAAAACATACCACCCCTTTGTGGGGAGGTACAAAAAATAATGGTCCGATCTCTACCATCTTTATAACAGAACTTGTGTTGATGGCAAAATTGAGATGTACCAAGTCTGAATGGAATCGGATGTCAATTTTATACTTTATGACCTTCATGGATACTCAAAATTATGACCCTTTGTGTGGAGGTACCAGAAGCAGTAGACCGATATATTCCAACATCACACCAGACCTTGGGTTAATAAAAACATTGTGATGTGCGTAATTTGAAGACAATCGGGCCCTTACATCACATTTTATAGGAGTTATATTTACTCAACATTTTGAGCCTTTGTGGGGTAAGTACTTGATGGAGTGGACCGATATTGTTCATTTCCGTACCTGACCTAGCACTGATGCAAATATTAAAATTTGCAAAGCTGGAACAAAATCGAATTAACCTTTCTCTTTCTGTGCAGTAAAATATTTTCTTTTAAAAAAATATTGACATTTTGTGTGGGAGCTACCAGTAGAAGAGGACCGATATTGCCCATCTCCGAAGTCCAAGTTTGAGAATAATATTACGATGTAACAAGTTGGGATCAAAACGGATACTTCTTCGACAGTTATCGTGCGCACCAGCCGGACGGACGCTTGAAGGGGCGGACATCGCTAGATCGACTCCAAATCTCCTGAAACGGTCTAAAACCGTTATTTCGATGGAGGGAGTTTTGGCCGTATCAAATGATATATACCCTCTCTAGCCATATGGCTGAGTGTATAATTACCATAATAGTGTTTCTCTTGGGTCCCAAAAGGCTAGAGAGTTTGGCGTTAGAAAGAACAATTTTTGTTTAATTGTTTACATTTTCAATTATTTTTATTTACTTTTTTATAGCAATTTATTTTTTAATAAATTTAAAAGCTCTGTTTTTTTATTTTATTTATTGTTGCTATTATACCCACATAAAAGTTTGCATTTAGTTCACAAAAGAATTTGTTGAATAATTTATTTGTAATCCAACGCTAGTTGCAGCATAGCCTTGCACTCTTACCATTTCAGTGGAAAAACTGTTTGGCAATGTAACTCGGTTTCAATTTCAAGTGTTAAAATTTTAAAATGCTGAAATTATATACAGTTGTTGGTAAGTTTGCATTTCGTGTTTTTTTATATTTGGCTTTAATTGTACCCTACAACATTATGTGTTGGGGGTATTATAAGTTTCATTGAGCCAAAAATTATGTAACACCACGAAATATTGGTTTCCCACATAGGAAGGTATATATGGATCTTCCTATCTCGCCGAGCTGAGCCGATCTAGCTATGTATGACCGTCCGTCCATGTTATTTGTAATCACGCTACCCACGGTCGCAATTATGGGATCCGATCCTCACAAAACTTAAAATGGAGGTGGGATTATGATAAAAATAAAAGCTATTTCTTTTGGAGATGATCACAAAATTTTTTTAGGGTTAAAATGAACCAGTTTCTCTACAGGTCGCAATTGTAGACCAATCAACACGGAATTTAGCATGGGGCTAAACCTTTGGTTTGGGCGGCCTTCCAATTTGGATTTCATCGGGTAATATTTAGTGGGAGAAATAGACCATAACATTTGTTTTAAATAAAAGTCAATTTTTTCCATTAAACCGCGAATATTATTAATCACGGCGAAATCACAAATTGACGAAAAGGTCAATTCTGACCGTTACGTAGATGCCGAAAGTAAATATACCAGATGCATATAGCGAAATATATACAATGTGTATATACAGGGTGAGATATAAAGAAACTGCAACAAAGTCAAGCGTCATAATTTTCATTTCATTGAATGAACACAAAAAAATGTCGGAATAACATCAAATTTTAGAATAGGTTTAGATTTTTTCGAAATGGTCACCTTTGACACGAATTATGGCTTTCAAACGACCAATGAAACCGTCATGCGCTCCCCGAATGTTGCTCTGCGCTATTTTTGGCCCATTCCCGGCGAAGCGCTTGCTTGAGGTGATCGACACTTTGGTATTTTGTAGTGCCAACCCTGCTTTCCAAAATACTTCAGACTCAATAGTACAACGGATTGGTATCCGGAGATTTTGGTGGCCATGGTGGCCAACCTCATTTTGTAACCTTTCTAGAGTGGCGCGTGCTGAGTGCGATGGTGCTAAGTCCTGTAGAAATGTCCAAGGTCTGCCACCAAAACGTTTGCGTGCCCAAGGCTTTAATACACCCTCCAGAATATTCTCGCGATAATATTCGGCATTTATTAAGATACCACGGTCGATTAATACGAGCGGAGAGCTACCATCGGCTGTTATGGCGGCCCACACCTTCACCATGGCCGGCGCTTCAGTTCTAGTGGCCAACGGAAGGTGCACATTTTCAGCTGACCTCTTTGGCAAGAAAACACGAACATTTTGTTTGTTTAAAAACTGCTGGACAACGAATGTTCTCTCATTGGAGAAAACCAAATTCGGTAGTCTACCACTCTCGGCCAAGCGATGCAACTCTTTACCTCTTTTCAGTCTACCTTCTCTTCATTGCGGTGCAAGTTCTTGCACTTTTGGAATTCCAAAGGGCTTAACCCGAGTTCATTTTTCAATATTTGAAAATAGAATGTTTACGATATGTTCAGCTCATGAGCCATTTTTCGGCCACTGCGGCGCGGGTTATGGTCAAGTCGCTTCTCGAACCTTTTCTGCTGATGTTGTGTTTTCTTCCGTCCACTAACGTCGGGCTACGTTACCAGTATCACGGTAACGAGCTATGACGAGACGAGAAACAAAAGATTTATTCACATTTAAATGCTAGAGTTCTCTAACGATAGCCACTTGTGGTTTTCCAGCCAAATATAAAGAAATCACACTATCACGCTTGAATTCCATCACGAATTTTTTCTGAAAAATTCTCACCAAAATGCTTTTGTACGCTTGTAAACAATATAATGGGCTGTCACTGGAATAATTTTTACGGCTGTAGGACGAATGGCTTAGAAATGAAAGCAGTTGGTTGCGGTTTTTTCTTCTCACCCCGTACAAAGGAAGTGGATGTTAGCTAGAATACTTATATCTAAAGAATGGCTGGACCGATTTTGACAAATGTTGTCAATTCAAAATGCCCTCTGGGCATAAAAGTATAAAATCTAAAAAATCGCATAAAAATATGAAAATAATGATGTTAATATAGATTTTGTAATATTTTGTGAAACTTTTCTATTTTTTCATTTTTTTTATCGCATGCGATTATTTCTATTTGACTTATAATATTGAAGTTTATATTTTGTAATATTTTACAATACAGGTTACTATATACAGATTGCAGTTATCGTCCGATCCTCACGAACATTTTCACTAGGGTAGGGTTAGGCTAGGCCTATTGTTTTCAAAAATGTTCGCAATATATTTAGGGGTTGAAATGGATCAAGAACTAAAAATTTTCCTGATTTTGCAGCCGTTATTCTACCTTTTTATGCTGATTTCGTTATCGAATATAGCCAAATAGAGTAGATAAGCAAATCATATAGATGTGTCTAAATTTGGAGATACAGAGGGGCCTTTTGCATTTGGAGATGATCGCAAAATATTTAGGGGTTCATATGAACCAAAAACAGAAAAAATTTCCTGATCACACAATTGAAACCAATCCACACTGAATTTTTATGAGCAGAGAGTTAAGGACAGGGAAGCGTTCTAGCGTTTTGGATGACCATTGGATTATATTTAGCTTAACTAACAGGACGAGGAGGCAAATTTCAATGACCAAAAAAAAAAAAAAAAACAAAGGGTAATATCTGGCCAGTTCTCTATGACATTATTTCAAAAGCGAAATCTAACAAAATGGATTTGGACATAAGGGTGCTTCTAACAAATTGTATTGTCGGTCGGCCCGCACGGCTATAGCCTTTTTTACTTGTTTTCTTATAAAATTGTTTGTTTTATTAATTTTCTTTAATTCAGTTAACATTTCTTTTTACAGGTTTTCTTGCCATATTTTCGTTCGATAACACACTTGGAGGTAAAAAAAATTTTAATCGTTTTAATTCTCAATTGTAAATTGTTGAATAATGGGGTATGTTTCGCAATCCAATATTATACAGGGTGAGATGAAAAAACTGCTACCAATTTCAGAATTCTGTCATTTCCAAGCCACTTGTACGACAGCTGTTAAAATTATTCCAGTGACAGCTCATTCTATTGTTTACAAGCGTACAATAGCATTTTCAGAAAAAAAATTAGTTGTAATGGAATTCAAGTGTGATAGTGTGATTTCTTTATACTTGATTGGAAAATCACAAGTGGCTATCGTTAGAGCATTCCAGAATTTAAACGTGCATAAATCTTTTGTTTCTCGTCTCGTCATCGCTCGTTACCACTTTTCTTTTCAAACCATTTTTGCTGATGTTGCTGTTTCCCTCTGTCCACTGTACTGGTAGCATAGCCCAACGTCAGGGAAGTGGACGGAAGAAAACAGCAACATCAGCAAAAATGGTTCGAAAAGTAAAAAAGCGACTTGATTGAAACCCGCGTCGCATTTGGCAAATATTGAAAAATGAGCTCGGGGTAAAGCCATTGAATTCCAAAAAGTGCGAGAACTTACACCGCAACAAAAAGAGAATAGACTTAAAAGAGTTAAAAAGTTGCATCGCTTGGCCGAAAGTGGTGAACTGTCGAATTCCGTTTTCTCCGATGAGAAAACATTTGTTGTCCAGCAGTTTGTAAACAAACAGAATGATCGTGTTTACTTGCCAAAGAGGTCAGCTGAAAATGTGCACCTTCGGTTGGCCACCAGAACTCAAGCACCGGCCATAGTGATGATGTGGGCCGCCATAACAGGTGACGGTCGCTCTTCGCTCATATTAATCGACCGTGGCATCAGAATAAATACCGAATATTTTCGCGAAAATATTCTGGACGGTGTATTTAAACCTTGGGCAATCAAACATTTTGGCCGCAGACCTTGGACATTCCAACAGGTCTCAGCACCATCGCACTTAGCACGAGCCACCCAAGAATGGTTACAAAATGAGGTTACTCGCTTCATTTCCAGTGCACAATGGCCACCAAAATCTCCGGATACCAATCCGTTGGACTATTGTATCTGGAAGATTTTGGAAGGCAAGGATGGCACTAAAAAATACCAAAGTGTCGATTTCTTCAAGCAAGCGCTTTGCCGGGAATGAGCCAAAATACCACAGGGCAACATTCCGGCAGAGTGTGACGGTTTCATTTGAATGACATAAATCGCCAAATGTGACCAATTCGAACGGATAAAGCTGAAATTTTGAAATTTTGTATTGTGGTACCTGTTGGTGGTAGGCCTGTGACAATGAGGTGGTTTTAGGAATATATGCTACAAGTGTACGAAAAGTACTAAATAGTACTACATTTTATATAATTAGGTATTGGCTGAAAAGAAAGTGCTTGAAATCTGATATTTGGTATTAGGATCGCTGTTCATGTGTAATCTCGACATATGGAGATGGTTTCGAAAATATGTACCACCTACCATAATTAGTGAATGTTACTATAATTGGTATTAAGGGATGCAATAGAGATAATGCTTATTTCGCTTTCTGTGAGCGTTTTGTTTGTCGATATGTTGAACCCTTTGTGTGGGAGGTATCAGAAGAAATCGTCCGATCTCTGTTATCTTTATTTTTTGTGTTGAGGAAAGTTTTGAGTTGTACCAAGTCTGAATGGAATCGGTTTTAATTTCGCGTTGACCCTTTGCGGGGGACGTATGGAATGGACCGATATATTATCCATTTTCACAGCAGATTTTGTGCTTGTAGAAATAAGGGGATTTATGAAATATGAAGAGAACCGGATGCTTACTTCGGATTTTATAATCGTTTTGGTTTTTCAAAACGTTGACCCTTTGTGGGATAAGATAAAATAATGTATTTACATCCCTTGACTAACACTTTTTCCTATTGAATTATAAATTAAATGTGTCTCTTATATCGCTCACAATTGAACCAAACTTAGGTCAGATACGAAATCGACAATATTGGCCAATCGTTTCGGAAGCTCCCGCATAATGGGTCAAAAACTTGAATATTCTTTACGCAAGTCACTTTTTTTGAAACTTTTGAAATTGTTTATTTTTATACCTTACAACACTATGTGTTGGGGGTGTAATAAGTTTGATTAGGCCAAAAATTATGTAACACCTCGAAATATTGGTTTCCCACATACGAAAGTATATATGGATCTTCCTATCTCGCCGAGCTGAGTTGATCTAGCTATGTATGTCCATTGTAATTTGTAATCACTCTACAGGTCGCAGTAATGGCTGGATCTTCACGAAATTTAGAATGGAGGTGGGGCTAGAGCCAAAATTGCTTTTGGAGATGATCGCATAAGATGTAGGGGTTGAAATGGACCAAAAACTGAACATTTTCCTGATTTTGTAGGTGATCTACAGGTCGCAATTATAGACCAATCGAGGCAGAAATTACCATGGGGCTAGAGCTAAGGGCTGGGCAGAATCTTTCCAATTTTGATGGTTATCGGGTAATATTTAGTGGGTGAAATGGACCATAACATTGTTGTTGAATAAAGGTAAAATTTTCCATTAAACTGCGAATATTTTTAATCGCGGCGAAATCACAAATAGACGAACAGGTTACTTCTGAATGTAACGTAGATGCCGATAGCAAATATACCAGATTTATATAAGCAAGGGGGATGTAAGCTAGAATGATTATATGTCGAGAATGGCTGTACCGATTTTGACAAATTTTGTCAATTCAGAATGCACTCTAGACACAGAAGAATAAAATCTTAAAAAAACGCATAAAAAGATTTCAATAATGATTTAAATATAGATTTTGTATTATTTTGTGACATTTGTTTATTTTTTCCATATTTTTTTATCGCATACGATTTTTTTAATTTGACTTATAATATTGAAGTATATATTCTGTAATAGTTTTTCACCTTACAACACAGGTTGGGGTTATTATACACAGATTGAAATTATCGTCCGATCATCACGAAAATTTCCTCAAGGGTAGGGTTAGGCTCAGAAGAGCTGGGCCTAATAAAGATGTCCGCAATATATTTAGGGGTTGAAATGGACAAAACAACTAAAAATGTTCCTGATTTTGCAGCCGTCATAAAGATCACAAATAGAAACAAAACGACACGAAATCTCGCATGAAGTTAGAGTTTAGGGCATCAGGTAGAATGGACCACTACTTTTGTATGAAAAAATACCAGCATTATATACCGACGATATCCGATATACACAATGGGCGAAATTCTGGCTTTTTTCTGCTGATTTCGTTGACGAATATAGTCAAATATCGTAGACAAGCAAATTATATAGATGAGTTAAAATTCGGAAATACAGAGGGGCCTCTTGCTTTCGAAGATGATCGCAAAATATTTAGGGGTTCAAATGAACCAAAAACAGAAAAAAAATGCCTGATCACACAATTGAAGCCAATCGACACGCCTGAGAAAAGAGTTAAGGAGTTAATGGAAGGATTCTAGCGTTTTTGATGGAAAATGGGCCACAACAACTAACCGCATGAGGGAGTGCTTAAATATTGGGCAAATGTCCCTGGTCAGTCAGTGCTCCGTGACATAATTTCAAAAGCAATATCTTCCAAAATGAATTTGGATATAAGGGGACTTCGAACATATCGTAGTGTTGTAGGGTATCACAAGGTCGGCCCCGCCTGACTAAAGCATTTGCTTACTTGTTTTTTATTGTCTTTATTTTATTTTAAATTCCCTTAGGACCTGCGTTACCTAGCCCCAAGGCCAAGGAGTGCATTGGTAAACATCAAATTCCTTTAAATGAAAGAAGTGTAGACATCAGAGTCGTCCAATTCGAACCATTTGCATTTGACAATTTCGATGCAAAACCATTGACGGCAGAAATAGTAAATTCCGAAGATCTACTTCAAATTCAGTTGCGCTATTCTGAAGATGAACGACCGGTAATCTATGGAGGTCCATTACAGGAATTGGGAAATTTTACTTTGGCCCGAATCGATTGGTATTCGTTGGAAGTGACGGATCCCGCCAATGACTTGGACGATATAAAATTTCCAGTAGAATTGCACATCATATTCTATAATAAAAAATATAGATCGCTAGCCAAAGCGGGACATCGACCCAATGGCAATATGGTGTTAGCATTCCCACTGAAGGTACAGTCCAGGATAATTTTTGATGGAAGTAATAACAATTTGGAACCCATGTTTTAGGTAGTTGAAGAGACTTTATTGCCGTTTTTTGAAATTGTTTTAAAATTTTTACCCATTCTAAGAGAGCCAGACAGTTTTGGGCTGTTTCCCGATCATGCGCCAGCCCTGATGCCGGAAAATTTGTTTGGAAATCTGAGTCATTTCTATTTGTATCATGGAACAACGTTTAATTGGCATTGTCAAAGGGATGTTGTGTGGTTTGACTTTACTACTCCCTTGGAAATTGGAGTAGATTTTGTAGGATATATTTAGGAAGGGGTATTTGAATTGGAATTTATAACTTATTGTTATTTTCTTCCACAGGTCAAGGGTATGGAGTATTTAGAGGCATCAGATGGCACACCTTTGATGAAAAAGATTAGAAACGATAAAACTCCTCGAGGGATGGTTTTAAAATCATTCGGAACGAATGGTAATGAGAAAGTCTTTAGCATAAACGGATGGAAAATTATCGGTTGCGTCATAATGGTACAATTTTGGTGCAATGAATTTTTATCAGAAATGTAAAAGGGAGCATATTCTGTGTATTTATTTTCCGAGGATCAATAAAGAGCTACATCATTTTAAAATAATACATTTTTAACCAATTGAAATAGAATTTCTGATTAATTGTATATCATTGCTAGCTGGCCCGGCCGCGTTGCCGGCCCTTAGTTTTAGTGCATAGTTTTTTTTTAAATATAATAATTTACAGATCTGGCTCACATAAGTGGCACAATTTTTAGTATAAGTGATGACTCGACTAAATAGAAATAAATACGCATCGCAAAAATGTCAATACAGGTTCACGTAACGGCGATTTATAGTGTTTCAAAAGACCTGATCCTGATCCAGCCAGAAGTTGTAATTTGAGAGTTAAAAACCTAAATAATAAATCACATATATTAAAAAGTAAGCAAAGGCTATAGTCGTGCAGGGCCGACCATTTGATACCCTACAACACTACAATTTGTTAGAAGCCCCTTTATGTCATTGGGACATTTGCCCAATATTTACGCACTCCGTCGTGCTATTAGTTGTTGTTGTCTATTTTACATCCAAATATAATCCAATGGTCATCCAAAGTGCCAGAATTTTTCACTGTACTTAACTCTCTTCTGAAGCGTATCGATTGGCTTCAATTGTTTGATCAGGAATTTTGTTCTGTTTTTGGTTCATTTGAACACCTAAATATTTTGCGATCATCTCCAAAAGCAAGAAGCCTCTCTGCATCTCCAAATTTAGACTCTATCTACGATATGCTTGTCTACGATATTCGGCAACGAAATCAACATAAACAAATTAAAAAGTATTTGTCAGTTTTATCGACAGATGTATACCCTCAGATATAGCAAATTGTAAAAAATCGCTGACTTGTTTCGCAAATTATGACAGATACATGTATTAAAAATTGTGACTCTTTGTGAATGAAGTACCAGAAGGGGTTCACAGATATATATCATCAGCACAACAGATAATGGTTTATCAAAAATGTTTGTATTTGTGGAATTTTAGGAGAGTTGGATGCTTATTTCACTTTCTTTGAGCCTTTGTAGAGGCGGTACCAGAAGAAGTGGTACCAGAAGCACTTGATGGAGCGTGGATGGAGTGGATGGATTATTCATTTCTGCACCTGACCTAGAACTGACGCAAACATTAGGATTTGCAAAGTTAGAGCAAAATCGGATTATTGCTTCTCTTTCTTTTCAGCAAATATATATATATATATTTTTTTTTTTGTGAAAATTTCGACCTTTTGTGGGGGATGTACCAGAAGGAGTGGACCGATGTATTCCAACTTGGCACCAGACTTTGGGTTTATACAATTATTGCGATGTCTGAAAATTGTGGGAGAGGTACTTGATGGGGTGGACCGATGTTGTCCATTTTCGCACCTGACCTAGCACTGATGCAAATATTAACATTTACATATTTAAACATTTTGACCTTTTATGGGGGAGGTACCAGAAGGAACGGACCGATGTATTCCATCTTAACACTAGACCTTGGGTTGGTAAAAATATTGAGATGTGTGAAATTTCAAGACAATCGGACTGTTATATCACATTTTATAAGAGTTGTAATTATTCAAAAATTTGACCCTTTATGGGGGAGGCACTGACGCAAATATTAAGATTTGCAAAGTTGGAGCAAAATCTGATTATCGTTTTTCTTCCTATGCAGAAAATACATTTTTTTTTTTTGAAAATTTCGACATTTTGTGTGGGATGTACCAGATGGAGTGGACCGATACATTCCATTTTCACACCAGACCTTGGGTTAATAAAATTACTGAGATGCGAGAAATTTGAAGACAATCGGACTCTTACATAACATTTTAAAAGAGTTGCATTTATTCAAAACTAGCTGGCCCGGTCCGCGTTGCCGGCCCGTAGTTTTAGTCTTCAATGCAACTTTTGTATAGCATAATATTTCGCAAATCTGGCTCATAAAGGTGAACAAATGTTAACATAAATATTGATCCGACTAAATAGAAATAAATACCTATTTAAAGAGGGCAAAATAATTTCTGAATAGTCAAAGTTAATTACGTTTTTACACCCATTACCATAGCACCTCAGATTGCGCTTTAGTCCCTAAGAAGTCTATGTTCTTGTTCATAGTAAAATTCAATGACGAATCAACAATGCCCATGTTGTTGTCCGCCAATCGGTAAAAATCACTATAGATCGGCGGCCCTGGGAACTATATGGGGGCTGTACCAAAATTTTTACCTATATTGACATTTTTCTGTAAGATGGTTCTCTACTCACAAAGTAGCCTAAATATAGCAAAATCGATTGGAAAATGTGGTCAAGACCCTCGAAATAGAAAAGTCAAGATGCCAAATAAAGGCCAAATCAGTTGAAAAAGACCAAGGTCATAGCTGAAATCAGGGAAACATTCATATGAGGGTTATACCAAAATGTAGGCCAACCAATATTCTCTTGGGGGTTACAAATTCAATAGAATACAAAATTTTCTTTTCTGACCACACATTAGATGTGAAAGTGGACTTGGGAATACTCCAATGTGGGGACTTTACTTAAATAAATTCCGATGTGGCAATTATCCTACCCCAGGGTAGCATAAATACAATTTTTAGCCAAATCAATTGATGAATGTGGTCAAGACCAAAATGGGCCCTACTCTGAAAATGTAAAATTTTATGCGAAGAGGTTCTCTACCCCCTTAGAAACAAAGATGCCAATTAAGGCAATAAGGTTTGGAAAGAATTTCTGGACGGATAGAAATCCTTTTCTTATTAAAAGTCCCATTCGCTCTACTATTTTGCACCCTTTAAATTTGGCATTTTACTGATTGTACTCCCAAAGAATTTTGCATTTTGAGCTCTCATTGAAGGATTATTGTCACATGAAAGAAGTAGTTCCATGCTTTTAAATGAGCCCCATTAGGCTTTTTCTGTCATTTTTGTTTTATATTTAAATGTGTTCGCATCTTCCAGCTGAACCACGATGTAGGCCCTGGAGTTGTCAGTTAACATCCTATTTCCCACTTATTTAATTTTTTTTTTTTTTTGTTTTTTTTTTTTTTTTTTTTTTTTTTTTTTTGTGAAAAATTGTATTTAGTGAGAAATTATTCTTTATTTTGTTCACAAAAAATTCACCGAAGTCAATATGATAATACAAATTGAAAAAAGAAGAATAACAAATTGAAAAAATCTTCAATTTCTTCGCTGATTTTTTACAGCAAATGTTTAAAGATCCTTACAAAGTTTATCAATAGAATATTATTTTAAAATTCGATTCCATTGAATTTTTTTTCGATTTTTCCCCGATTTGAGAATTTTTGCAATGAGATCTCTTTTTCGTGATTTTTTAGCGATTTTGAAAAAGTAATTATTTTTTAACTTTGGTATGGCCGCGATAAATTATTTCATCTATTCATCATCATCTATTCCGTTTCGCCACCACATAATTCGGTACTACACTTCCATGTAACCCGCCATCAATTTCAGTTCTTAAGAAATCAAGTCAATTAAATTGGTATTAATATTCAAATTCAAAAATAAAATATAAAAAACACTACAAATGTACATTAGAAAAAAATAAGTCAACATTGAAAAAAATCATGCAAAATAAAACATTACTATTGTACATTTCAAAAGTCAAAATGAAAATGTTAATATATCACATTTTTACGCCCTTTTTTTTGGATATTATCCTTTTCGGAAAAGAGACAATTCCGAATTTGTATGAATCGTTAAAATCTGTTCAGCGGTTCTTAAGTTATAAGCGTAGTAACTAACACAACTTCCTTTTATATATATAGATTTTGACCCTTTGTGGGGAGGTACCAGAGGGAGTGGAACGATATTGTCAATTTTCGCACCTGATCTAGCACTGATGAAAATATTATGATTCGCAAAGTTGGAGCAAAATCGGATCATCCTTTCTCTTTCTGTGCAATAAATTATTCTCTTTGAAAATTTTGATATTTTGTGTGGGAGGTACCAGAAGGAGTGGACCGATATTGTCCATCTCCGAATTCGATCTAAGTTTGACAATAATATTACAATGTACCGACTTTGGATCAAATGGGATACTCCCTTCGAGAGTCATCGTGAGACCTGTTTAGACGTTACTCATAGGTTTTTGACTCGGAGAATTTGGCCAATATTTATGCACTCCGTCGTGTTGTTAGGTATTCAAAACAATTTCACACCAAAGTTGTGGTCCATTTTTTAGTTATATATAATACAATACTCATCCAAAATATCAGACATCTTCCCTGTACTTAACACTCTTCTGATGCGAAATTGCGTATGGATTAGCGAGCGACTACAAAATTAGAAAAATTTTAATTTTTTTCAGTCCATTTGAACCCCCAAATGTACATCTTAAGAACAATAGGCTTTAATTCTGATCCTAACGCTACCCCATGCAACTTCGTGAGGATCGGACGATAATTGCGACATGCATATAATACCCTCAAAGCGTAGTGTTGAGGAGTGTAAAAATTTGAAAAATTGTCAATTCAAAATTGTAAGTCAAATTGAA